GTCTAGTCTATAGTCTAGTCTATAGTCTAGTCTATAGTCTAGTCTATAGTCTAGTCTATAGTCTAGTCTATAGTCTAGTCTAGTCTATAGTCTAGTCTATGGTCTAGTCTATAGTCTAGTCTATAGTCTAGTCTATAGTCTAGTCTATAGTCTAGTCTATAGTCTAGTCTATAGTCTAGTCTATAGTCTAGTCTATAGTCTAGTCTATAGTCTAGTCTATAGTCTAGTCTATAGTCTAGTCTATAGTCTAGTCTATAGTCTAGTCTATAGTCTAGTCTATAGTCTAGTCTATAGTCTAGTCTATAGTCTAGTCTATAGTCTAGTCTATAGTCTATAGTCTAGTCTATAGTCTAGTCTATAGTCTAGTCTATAGTCTAGTCTATAGTCTAGTCTATAGTCTAGTCTATAGTCTAGTCTATAGTCTAGTCTAGTCTATCTAGTCTAGTCTATAGTCTAGTCTATAGTCTAGTCTATAGTCTAGTCTATAGTCTAGTCTATAGTCTAGTCTATAGTCTAGTCTATAGTCTAGTCTATAGTCTAGTCTATAGTCTAGTCTATAGTCTAGTCTATAGTCTATAGTCTAGTCTATAGTCTAGTCTATAGTCTAGTCTATATTCTAGTCTGTAGTCTAGTCTATAGTCTAGTCTATAGTCTAGTCTATAGTCTAGTCTATAGTCTAGTCTATAGTCTAGTCTATAGTCTAGTCTATAGTCTAGTCTATAGTCTAGTCTATAGTCTAGTCTATAGTCTAGTCTATAGTCTAGTCTATAGTCTAGTCTATAGTCTAGTCTATAGTCTAGTCTATAGTCTAGTCTATAGTCTAGTCTATAGTCTAGTCTATAGTCTAGTCTATAGTCTAGTCTATAGTCTAGTCTATAGTCTAGTCTATAGTCTAGTCTATAGTCTAGTCTATATTCTAGTCTATAGTCTAGTCTTTAGTCTAGTCTATAGTCTAGTCTTTAGTCTAGTCTATAGTCTAGTCTATAGTCTAGTCTATAGTCTAGTCTATAGTCTAGTCTATAGTCTAGTCTATAGTCTAGTCTATAGTCTAGTCTATAGTCTAGTCTATAGTCTAGTCTATAGTCTAGTCTATAGTCTAGTCTATAGTCTAGTCTATAGTCTAGTCTATAGTCTAGTCTATAGTCTAGTCTATAGTCTAGTCTATAGTCTAGTCTATAGTCTAGTCTATAGTCTAGTCTATAGTCTAGTCTATAGTCTAGTCTATAGTCTAGTCTATAGTCTAGTCTATAGTCTACTCTATAGTCTAGTCTATAGTCTAGTCTATAGTCTAGTCTATAGTCTAGTCTATAGTCTAGTCTATAGTCTAGTCTATAGTCTAGTCTATAGTCTAGTCTATAGTCTAGTCTATAGTCTAGTCTATAGTCTAGTCTATAGTCTAGTCTATAGTCTACTCTATAGTCTAGTCTATAGTCTAGTCTATAGTCTAGTCTATAGTCTAGTCTATAGTCTAGTCTATAGTCTAGTCTATAGTCTAGTCTATAGTCTAGTCTATAGTCTAGTCTATAGTCTAGTCTATGGTCTAGTCTATAGTCTAGTCTATAGTCTAGTCTATAGTCTAGTCTATAGTCTAGTCTATAGTCTAGTCTATAGTCTAGTCTATAGTCTAGTCTATAGTCTAGTCTATAGTCTAGTCTATAGTCTAGTCTATAGTCTAGTCTATAGTCTAGTCTATAGTCTAGTCTATAGTCTAGTCTATAGTCTAGTCTATAGTCTAGTCTATAGTCTAGTCTATAGTCTAGTCTATAGTCTAGTCTATAGTCTAGTCTATAGTCTAGTCTATAGTCTAGTCTATAGTCTAGTCTATAGTCTAGTCTATCTAGTCTATAGTCTAGTCTATAGTCTAGTCTACAGTCTAGTTTATAGTCTAGTCTATAGTCTAGTCTATAGTCTAGTCTATAGTCTAGTCTATAGTCTAGTCTATAGTCTAGTCTACAGTCTAGTTTCTAGTCTAGTCTATAGTCTAGTCTATAGTCTAGTCATAGTCTAGTCTATAGTCTAGTCTATAGTCTAGTCTATAGTCTAGTCTATAGTCTAGTCTATAGTCTAGTCTATAGTCTAGTCTATAGTCTAGTCTATAGTCTAGTCTATAGTCTAGTCTATAGTCTAGTCTATAGTCTAGTCTATAGTCTAGTCTATAGTCTAGTCTATAGTCTAGTCTAGTCTAGTCTATAGTCTAGTCTATAGTCTAGTCTATAGTCTAGTCTATAGTCTAGTCTATAGTCTAGTCTATAGTCTAGTCTATAGTCTAGTCTATAGTCTAGTCTATAGTCTAGTCTATAGTCTAGTCTATAGTCTAGTCTATAGTCTAGTCTATAGTCTAGTCTATAGTCTAGTCTATAGTCTAGTCTATAGTCTAGTCTATAGTCTAGTCTATAGTCTAGTCTATAGTCTAGTCTATAGTCTAGTCTATAGTCTTCTATAGTCTAGTCTATAGTCTAGTCTATAGTCTAGTCTATAGTCTAGTCTATAGTCTAGTCTATAGTCTAGTCTATAGTCTAGTCTATAGTCTAGTCTATAGTCTAGTCTATAGTCTAGTCTATAGTCTAGTCATAGTCTAGTCTATAGTCTAGTCTATAGTCTAGTCTATAGTCTAGTCTAGTCTATAGTCTAGTCTATAGTCTAGTCTATAGTCTAGTCTATAGTCTAGTCTATAGTCTAGTCTATAGTCTAGTCTATAGTCTAGTCTATAGTCTAGTCTATAGTCTAGTCTATAGTCTAGTCTATAGTCTAGTCTATAGTCCAGTCTATAGTCTAGTCTATAGTCTAGTCTATAGTCTAGTCTATAGTCTAGTCTATAGTCTAGTCTATAGTCTAGTCTATAGTCTAGTCTATAGTCTAGTCTATAGTCTAGTCTATAGTCTAGTCTATAGTCTAGTCTAGTCTAGTCTAGTCTATGTCTCTAGTCTAGTCTATGTCTAGTCTATAGTCTAGTCTATAGTCTAGTCTATAGTCTAGTCTATAGTCTAGTCTATAGTCTAGTCTATAGTCCAGTCTATAGTTCTAGTCTATAGTCTAGTCTATAGTCTAGGTCTATAGTCTAGTCTATAGTCTAGTCGATAGTCTTGTCTATAGTCTAGTATATAGTCTAGTATATAGTCTAGTCTATAGTATTGTCTATATTCTAGTCTGTAGTCTAGTCTACAGTCTAGTCTATAGTCTAGTCTATATGCTAGTCTTCAGTCTAGTCTATGGTCTATATTTTAGTCTATAGTCTAGTCTATAGTCTATTCTATAGTTTAGTCAATAGCCTAGTCCATAGTCTAGTCTATAGTCAAGTCTTTAGTTTAGTGTATGGTTAGTATATAGTCTAGTCTATAATCTAGTCTATAGTATAGTATATAATCCAGCCTATAGTCTAGCCTATAGTCTAGTCTGGCGCTGCGAATTATGGCCCCAGGTAAAATGGCCCCAAAACGTAAAACGAAATATGGCCCCAACAAAGATACAGGAAACAAAAACACGAAAGTTTTGTTTTTTTTTTCATATATTTTTTGGGGTATTTCAACATTTTTACATTTGGGGTAATACTGCATTTTGCAAAAAAAATAAAAATGACCCCAATGTTGTGAAATGAAGAAATACCCCAAAACAAAACTTTTTTCCTTTGGGGCTAATTTTCATTCTTAAATTTTGTAAAATACGTGAATATTAAAATATTAAAAAGGGACCTAAAAAACCATATAATAATTAGGGGTGATCTTTCATTATTACTATTTATTAATATTTTATAAAAAATCAGAACATTATCGCGCGATATTTTTTATTAAAAAATATTTTATGTAATAATATTTGTTGTATTTTCATAAAATGTTTGTTAATTTTGAACATATTTTTACAAAAAATATTTCAAGAATGTTCAAAATTAACAAACATTTAATAAAAATACAACAAAAATTATTAAATATGAAATTTTATAAATATGTTAGCTTATATTTGAGGTGGGATGTCATAATGTCCATTGACGTTATGACACACCAAAAAGTTTCATAGTGTCCATGGACGTTATGACAATTTTTAAAAGTGTTATAATGTCCATTGACATTGTATCACTTTTAAAACAGAACTGTATTTGAAAATTTGTAAAGAATTTATGAAAGGGACATTCTTACCCCCAAAGGAATTTATCCTAAATTTGGTGTATGTTGCATTTTGGTTTCCATTTAAAAAGTTTTCTGTATAGCCGGCCTTCGGCCGGGCGCAGGGGTTTTAAACTCTGGGGTATTTCGAATACCGGCTTCGCTAAATTAAGCCTTCTTTTGATAAATGGACTCTTTGAAATCCATAGACTTTATGCATTGTGACACTTTTGAAATTGTTATAACGTCCATGGACACTAGACTCAATTTAGTGAGTCATAACGCCCATGGAAATATGACACTGGACTTTATGACACGTCACCTATATTTGAATTAAAATTAAATGGGGTGAAATTTCATTTACGTTTTTGGGGTAATTGTTCATTACGAAAAATTAACCCAATATTTGGGGCCACTTTTCATTTCAACCTTGGGGAGATTTTTCATTAATTTTGGGGTGATTTTTCTTAAAAAATGTTAGGGTTATACTTCATAATGAATTTTGACCCCAACATTGGGGCAATTTTTCGTTTTATATTTTGGGGCCATTTTACCTGGGGCCATAATTCGCAGCGCCGTCTAGTCTATAGTGTAGTCTACAGTCTAGCCTATAATCTAGTCTATAGTCCAGTATTTAGTGTAGTCTGCATGCTAGTCCATAGTCTAGTGTATAGTATATTTTATAGTAGATTCTATAGCCCCGCCCATAGTCCCGTCTAGTTAAGATTGTTAGTTAAATAAAATATTTTTAAAATTACACTCACAACACGACTTCTTAGAAGCCTTTTCCATAGGACAACACATGGAGGAGGATCCCAAGTTTTGAAATAAGATTTTTCATTAGCTTTTTCCAGTTTAAAAGCTTTTAAGCTTCCCTTTTGAAATAAAACACTTTTGAATAAATATTTTTTGCTTTAATTTTGAACGATTTTATTTAAAAATTTACATATAGATTTCTTAAAAACTTAATCCAATAAATTATGGGCCTGCAACTCTTTCAAACTAACGGCTAAATATTGCTTATATAAACGCTGTTTACAGAAATAGTAAAATTCATATTCGTGAGTGAAATTTTTACGTATCATTTCCTTGACATCAGCATCAATTTTCGGTTTACGTTTATTCTTATTACGATTGGTAACTTTATCCATGTTCACTGTAATTGAGAGTAAAAATTGGGGATTCAGTAGAAGTTTTTGTAGTAGTAGAAGTAAAACTGAAACTTACATTCAAATAATAGTTTGGCACCATTAAAGAATTTCGGTATGTATTTTTCGAATACTGTTAGAGTAATATTGGTCTCTTCCCAGGTACCTACGACAGCATAGTCACGTTCTACATGCTCTTTAGCCATTTGTACAGCAGCGGGTGAGTTAAATGGTCTGTTGGAGGGGGGAGGCGGTGATTGGTTAGAATATTTGATCAGTTGGGAATCGATTTTATAGCTTTTTTCTACATAAAATGGTAATGTGTTCAACAACAACTGTTTTTCAAAAGGAACTATTCCGAAATTTTATTCATAATGGTGGATTTTTAGAAAGATGTAAATTTTCATTCACAATAGTCGAAATTTTCTCTAATATTTTGACTATTTCTCTAATATTTTGGACTCGAGGGTGTCTTGAGTCTAGCTCGCCATTAGCCGAGAACTTATCAAAATCTTGTAGATCTAGGGGTTAAAATTGACATTAACTTTCGTCTCTTCTGAGCTAAGTAACAGTTTCGTGTTGGGGTAGCAATTAATTCAGAATATAAATCTGTTCAAATCTATGGGGTTTGAGAACTCAGTTTAAGTAAAAAAGTCTAAATAAAAGAAATATTCTAACAGGCCCCACTTGACTTAAATTTTTTGTCCCTCAAAACTTTGGTTGAACTATTCGAACGATTTGGTTGAATCCAGCCGATCCATATATATATACTTACATACAATCATCATGATGACCACAAAAGAATAACGATTGCCTCTTAAAATTACCCACATAATCCTTAACACTAAACGGTACATATTGACACTCCGGATCACCGCTACGCACACAATGATTGAAATCTTTTTTATACCACGATACTGGTCTCATGGGCTTATTGGGAGCTTTATTATATTCAATAGCATTCTTATAGGCACCTCTAGCATAAAAATACCACGATATAACTCTTTCCACCGGATCACGCACCATATTTATATAAATCGGTTTAGGCAAATCAAACTCTTCAAAATCGATCCAATTAACATGTTGTATCCATATGGAACCGTCCGTAAGTTCTGAAATTCTCTCGGCCAGTTCACGTTGTTCGATATTGTTGAATTGTCGCTTAGTGGGCTCATGTAGGCCATCACGTTCCAGGGTTAAACCTTCATTGAAATTTTCTAAAACATCAATTAGCTCTAGAAGAGCTTCACTGCCGACTTTGGCACAACGATTGAAAAATATGACATCTATTTCAGCTTTACGGGTATTATTCAGTCTATAGGCGTTTAAGCTCTTAAGCTAAACGTTGTAAAGGGAAGGAGGGAGAGAGAGAGAGAGACAGGCACATGTATAAGGGGAAGGTCGGAATATATATATTTTGATATTAAAGCTGTTGGGCAAAAAGCTTTATAACCATGATATTTATGGCATTAGTTAGGGTTTTTGTTAAAGGAAATATTTGAAAAAGCGTGGAACAAGAAATTCGGAAAAATATTTCTATATCGGTTGATATTCAAAAGCAATTTAAAAGCATTTCCTAAAGCCAATATTTAAAAAAATAAAATGCAAAGATCTTCTTCAAAAATTCAGAAAATATTCGGCTGATTTTAAGCAACTATATATACAAAAACAAAAAAGCAATGATTCAAGATTCAAGAAATCCCTAAAGAAAAGCGAAAAAGCTTCTATTTGAACTTGTGTCCCCTCGTACTGTCATACTTACATACAATCCACATGATGACCACAAAAGAATAACGACTGACGACGAAAATCATAGGCACCATCTACCGTACTATATGGTATATACTGACACTCTGGATCACCGCTGCGAACACACTTATTGAAATCTTTAACATACCACTCACGTGGTCTCATCGGCCGTTTGGGTTGTTTTTGAAACTGTATAGCATTGCGATAAGCACTGCGGGCATAATAATACCATGATATAACTCTTTCCACCGGATCTCTTACCATATTTATATAAATCGGTTTGGGTAAATTAAACGCCTCGAAATCTAACCAATTTATGTGTTGTATATAAATCGTACCATCTATAGATTCCGAAATAGTTTCGGCATATTTACGTTGCTCTGGTCGTTTGTGTTCTCTTAAGGTCATTTGTTGAAGACCCTCATGTTCAACACTAATATTATCATTGAATTTTTCCAAAATCATAAGCAATTCGTAGAGCGCCTCACTACCGACTTTTGTACAACGATTAAAGAATAGCACCTCTATATCGGCTTTGGGAGTATTGTTTAAGCGTTGGGCGTTTAACTGTTTAAGCTATTTGAGTTTTAAATTACAGCAGTCAAGATTAGTTATAGAAAATCCCAGCGTTAATTTATTTATAATTGATAATATTATATTTTTTTTTGCCATGAAATGAGGTGCTTCTAGTATAGAACCGCCATAAACCAAAATGAAAAGTTAGGAAAATTTCGGGTTAGATTTGTTAAGAGAAATTTTTAGGGGAGAAATTGGTATAAAAGCCTAACATTTTCATACTTGGTCTGCTAATACTCTACTATCCGAAGCACCTTATCCAATCATTCTCCAATTTCAAAAGATTTTACTCAGTTAAGGGTCTTATACATATATTGCAAAAATCTGCCCAAAACAAAAACTGTATCGATAATGTTGAATTATGACTTCAAACTCAAGTTGCATTAAGTCTAGTAATAGACTAGTCTAAAGTCTAATTTATAGTCTAGTCTAAAGTTAAGTCTATATTCTAATTTACAGTCTATAGTTTAGTATATAGTCTAGCCTATTGTCTAGTCTATAGACTAGTCAATAGCATATTCCATAGTCCAGTCTACTGTGTAGTTTAGTCCAGTCTATAGTCTAGTCTATTCTAAAGTCTAGCCTATAGCTTAGTCTATTCTATAGTTTAGCCTATAGTCTATTCCATAGTCTAGCCTATAGTCTAGTCTATAGTCTAGTCTATAGTCTAGTCTATAGTCTAGCCTATAGTCTAGTCTATAGTCTAGTCTAGTCTACAGTCTAGTCTAGTCTAGTCTAGTCTATAGTCTAGTCTATAGGCTAGTCTAGTCTAGTCTATAGTCTAGTCTATAGTCTAGTCTATAGTCTAGTCTATAGTCTAGTCTATAGTCTAGTCTATAGTCTAGTCTATAGTCTAGTCTATAGTCTAGTCTATAGTCTAGTCTATAGTCTAGTCTATAGTCTAGTCTATAGTCTAGTCTATAGTCTAGTCTATAATCTAGTCTATAGTCTAGTCTATAGTCTAGTCTATAGTCTAGTCTATATAGTCTAGTCTAGTCTATAGTCTAGTCTATATAGTCTAGTCTAGTCTAGTCTAGTCTAGTCTAGTCTAGTCTAGTCTAGTCTATAGTACAGTCTATAGTATAGTCTATAGTCTAGTCTATAGTCTAGTCTATAGGCTAGTCTATAGTCTAGTCTATAGTCTAGTCTATAGGCTAGTCTATAGTCTAGTCTATAGTCTAGTCTATAGTCTAGTCTATAGTCTAGTCTATAGTCTAGTCTATAGTCTAGTCTATAGTCTAGTCTATAGTCTAGTCTATAGTCTAGTCTATAGTCTAGTCTATAGTCTAGTCTATAGTCTAGTCTATAGTCTAGTCTATAGTCTAGTCTATAGTCTAGTCTATAGTCTAGTCTATAGTCTAGTCTATAGTCTAGTCTATAGTCTAGTCTATAGTCTAGTCTATAGTCTAGTCTAGTCTATATAGTCTAGTTAGTCTAGTCTATAGCTAGTCTATTCTCGTCTAGTCTATAGTCTAGTCTATAGTCTAGTCTATAGTCTAGTCTATAGTCTAGTCTATAGTCTAGTCTATAGTCTAGTCTAGTCTAGTCTATAGTCTAGTCTATAGTCTAGTCTATAGTCTAGTTCTATAGTCTAGTCTATAGTCTAGTCTATAGTCTAGTCTATAGTCAGTCTATAGTCTAGTCTATAGTCTAGTCTATAGTCTAGTCTATAGTCTAGTCTATAGTCTAGTCTATAGTCTAGTCTATAGTCTAGTCTATTGTCTAGTCTATAGTCTAGTCTATAGTCTAGTCTATAGTCTAGTCTATAGTCTAGTCTATAGTCTAGTCTATAGTCTAGTCTATAGTCGAGTCTATAGTCTAGTCTATAGTCTAGTCTATAGTCTAGTCTATAGCTAGTCTATAGTCTAGTCTATAGTTAGTCTATAGTCTAGTCTATAGTCTAGTCTATAGTCTAGTCTATAGTCTAGTCTATAGTCTAGTCTATAGTCTAGTCTATAGGTACTAGTCTAGTCTATAGTCTAGTCTATAGTCTAGTCTATAGTCTAGTCTATAGTCTATCAATAGTCTAGTCTATAGTCTAGTCTATAGTCTAGTCTATAGTCTAGTCTATAGTCTAGTCTAAAGTCTAGTCTATAGTCTAGTCTATAGTCTAGTCTATAGTCTAGTCTATAGTCTAGTCTATAGTCTAGTCTATAGTCTAGTCTATAGTCTAGTCTATAGTCTAGTCTATAGTCTAGTCTATAGTCTAGTCTATAGTCTAGTCTATAGTCTAGTCTATAGTCTAGTCTATAGTCTAGTCTATAGTCTAGTCTATAGTCTAGTCTATAGTCTAGTCTATAGTCTAGTCATAGTCTAGTCTATAGTCTAGTCTATAGTCTAGTCTATAGTCTAGTCTATAGTCTAGTCTATAGTCTAGTCTATAGTCTAGTCTATAGTCTAGTCTATAGTCTAGTCTATAGTCTAGTCTATAGTCTAGTCTATAGTCTAGTCTATAGTCTAGTCTATAGTCTAGTCTATAGTCTAGTCTATAGTCTAGTCTATAGTCTAGTCTATAGTCTAGTCTATAGTCTAATCTATAGTCTAATCTATAGTCTAGTCTAGTCTAGTCTATAGTCTAGTCTATAGTCTAATCTATAGTCTAGTCTATAGTCTAGTCTACAGTCTTGTCTATAGTCTAGTCTATAGTCTAGTCCAAAGTCTAGTCTATAGTCTAGTCTATAGTCTAGTCTATAGTCTAGTCTATAGTCTAGTCTATAGTCTAGTCTATAGTCAAGTCTATAGTCTAATCTATAGTCTAGTCTATAGTCGAGTATATAGTCTAGTCTATAGTCTAGTCTAAAGTCTAGTATATAGTCTAGTCTATAGTCTAATGTGTATTACAAGAAGGTTGCTTATTGAAAGCTCTTTCTCGTTTGCTTATTATTCAGAGCGTTTATGTTCTCAAAGTTTTTAAGGTTCCAAGATCTTGCAAACGCTAATTGAAATAAAAAAATAACAATTAAATTTTAAAAAATGTTCACTTAAAAATTTATTTTCCCAACTTAATGCAATTTCATTAAAGCTTTCTTTATAAATGACATTTTCTCCTGCTCTTCCTTAAGGACCAATTGTTGTAAGTCATTCTTTTTGATAGCCAAATATTGCTTGTGCAAACGCTGACGACAAAATTGATAGAACTCATATTCGCGGGTGAAATTCTGACGCACCATCTGTTTGATGTCTTCGCTAATGTGAGGCTTAAAGGGATTGCTATTTTGGATATCTGAATTAAGACCATCTAAAACAAGATAATGTGATTAGAAAAGACCTTCTTAACTAAGGAGTGGGAAAAAGCTTACTGTAATACATCTTAGTGGCTCCCTTGAAATAACGTGGAACATAGTTTTCCAAAACACTTAAGGTAATATTGGTATCCTCCCAAGTGCCCACTACAGCATATTCTTTTTCCACCGTACGCTTGGCCATTTCTAGGGGAATTTTCGTATTAAAGGGCCTAGAAGGCAAGAAGTTATAGAAGATTATCTAATGTTAAGATATAACAACTAACACTTACATGCATTTCTTAGCATTATTGCCACAAAAGAATAGGGTTTGTCTTCTATGATCACCCACTTTTTCCAAACCGGATCCCTCGATAAAGGTACACACTTTATCCTTGTTCATAACACACTGATCGAATTCCGTATTAACCCATTGCGGATTGGGCATTTTTCTCTTATTTTTCCTACGACCGGGTATAAAAATCCAGGGTGAACGTATATAATAATACCAGCTAATAACTCTTTCCACCGGATCTCTAACCATATTAATATAAATGGGACGTGGTTGACCGTAATCGGTAAAATTAAGATAATTCATGTGCGAAACAAATGCCATGCCATCTTCGAAATTACTTATATTCTCTATGGTATGCTCTTCTTCTTGTTCATCGAGTGAGGGTCTTATGCCACCATTATTGGGATCAACTTCCACCTCATAATCGTGCATTTTTCCCAAATTTTTCATTAACGTAATCAATTGCATACTGCCCGTTTTGGGTACACGATTATAGAATAATATATCGACTTCGGCTTTTTTCGTATTATTCAAAAGATCGGCATTGAGGGTATATAGCTGGCAAAAATAAAAATTATTTATTTTTGTTGAGAGTTTTGGAAAAAGATTTGGTGGATAATGATTTGATTTTTTTAATTGTTGGTGGCACCCCAAACCATTTTAAAGAGAATATTTGTATGTGGTATAAGCTTTTAGAAGATCGGTTAGAATATGGTTAAAGGAAATGGAAAAGATAATTACAAGGGCTAAGCAAAAACTAGCGGTTTCTAATGAAACTATCCTAAAAAAAGCTGGCATTATTGGTAGATTTTAAAATTTCAGATATTTTATCGGATTTCAGATCAGAAATCGAGTGTACGATAGATTGAAAAAGCTGAACTAGAGATTATAATACATATAGTGCGGACTGATCTATAGTATTGACAGTAGACTTGACCGAAGACTTTACACGATTCAAACTGTAGATTTGACTAAATATTACTGGACTATAGACATGAGTTTAGTTCAGACTATGGTCAAGTCTATAGTCCAGACTATAGTCAAGTCTAAAGTCTATTGTCATGTTCAAAGTCTATAGACATTACTATAGTCTGGACTATAGACTTGACAATAGTCTGGATTATAAACTTTACTATAGTCTGGACTATAGGCTTGACTATAGTCTGGACTTTAGACTTGACTATAGTCTGGACTATAGACTTGACCATAGATAGTTCAGACTATGGTCAAGTCTATAGTCCAGACTATAGTCAAGTCTAAAGTCTATTGTCATGTTCAAAGTCTATAGACATTACTATAGTCTGGACTATAGACTTGACAATAGTCTGGATTATAAACTTTACTATAGTCTGGACTATAGGCTTGACTATAGTCTGGACTATAGACTTGACTATAATCTGGACTATAGACTTGACTATAGTCTGGACTATGGACTTGACTATTGTCTGGATTATAGACTTGACTATAGTCTGGACTATAGCTTTGATTATAGTCTGGACTGTAGACGTGCCTATAGTCTGGACTATAGACTTGACTATAGTCTGGACTATAAACTTGACTGTTGTCTGGACTATAGACTTGATTTTAGTCTGGACTATAGACTTGACTAAAGTCTAAACTATAGAATTGACTATAGTATGGACTTGACTATATTTCATGATCTATAATTGAACTATAGTTTCAAATATAGATCATTCGTTAACAAATCGGTTCACAGAATGGTTAATATATCTTAAGCTACTGAGTCTTTAACAAGAATATTTCAATACAATAGTAAAGACCTTAGATTTTGCTATAGTCTGGACTATAGCTTTGATTATAGTCTGGACTGTAGACGTGCCTATAGTCTGGACTATAGACTTGGCTATAGTCTGGACTATAGACTTGACTATAGTCTGAACTATAGAATTGACTAAAGTCTGAACTATAGAATTGACTATAGTATGGACTTGACTATAATTTTCGCTATAATCTTAACTATAGTTTCAATTATAGATCATTCGTTAGCAAATCGGTTCCCAGAATGGTAAATATATCTTAAGCTATCGAGTCTTTAACAAGAATATTTCAGAAAAGAAAAATACCTTAAAATACATCAACTGCAGGTCCCGAAAGATTCTTAATTTCGCTTATGTCAGAAAGAGGCTAGAGAGTCCAGGCTAGAGTTCTTAAACTAGGAATATATCAGAAATAGACTTAAGCTCTCAGAATAGCTAACTTTTGTAAAGTTGTCAAATTTAAACGTGAGGAAATTGTGTTCAAAAAACTTTTTTATTACAATTAAAAAAGCTGTAAAATATAAAAATGCTTCAAAAGTTCTTATGAAAGTTATAAAGCTTTATTTTACAAAAGATTATATAACTGCTCTAAAGCTTTTTATGAAAGCTAAATAAGCTTTATTTTTTAATAGCTTCTAAGCTTTTAATGAAAGCTACAAATATTTAAAAAAGCTTGATTTTTCAAAAAAACTTTTTGTGAAAGCTTTTGGCTTACATAAAAAGCTTTTTTGAAAAAGTTAAAAAATATTTTATAAAAGCTTCTTTACTTTGAATGAAAGCTACAATGCTTTTTTATAATTTACCTAACTTTTTTTCTAAAAGCTACAAAGCTCTTTGTTTCTAACTTTCTAATCAAGCAAATAAAACGCTTTTTTAAAGTTTTCTGTTAAATTTTATTAATTAATTTAGCTTACAATCAGTAGTAATATTTTAAAAGCTAAGCTTTTCTTTTACCCAACAAAAAAAAAAAAAAAATACTATTAATTAAGCTTCAAATTAGAGTGAAAGCTTACCACAAAGATCAAATTGTATTAAAGCTTAAAGTTAACAAAACAGAAGGTTTACAACCATTTTATATAAAGAGTTTAATTGAAAAAAATTAATGTATATTAAAGCTTAAGTTGCATTAAAGATCATATTTAATTAGAATTTTAAACCCATGTAATACTAAAAAAGCTTTCAGTTATAACAAATTTTAAAATATAGAGATTTGAAAAGCTTTAAATTATATTATGTGCAACCCACTAATACTAAAAAAGCTTTTAGTTAAAAGGAATATATATTTTATATAAAAATTTAGCTTTGCAATTAAGCTTTGCATGATAGCTTTAAAGCTTAACTTTAACTTTTTAATATATAAAGCTAAGCTTTTGCTTTTCATTAATACTTACAAGCTATAGATAATACGAATTATAAATTGTTGTTATATTAAAGAAAATTTCATTAAAAGCTTGGCGTAAGCTTTAAAAAGCTATATTAAAAGCTCTTATTTTTTAGTTTTTTTAAGCTTTTGCTTATTATTACAGAAAGTTCAATGAAATTTTCTTATAATTTTCAATTTTATTTGTTTTAATTTAAAATTTATCTAGAAAAAAAGCTTTAAGCTAATATATTGAAAGGAAAAATTTTATTTCCCTCAAATTCTTTCATCAATTCATCCTTTTTAATCGCTATATACTGTTTGTAAAGACGCTGTTTGCAAAAATTATACAATTCGATTTCATAACTAAATTGTCTTTTTAATTTTGCCTCCACGGCCGGTTCCAATTCCGATTTATGGGGTGTAGCATTTTTATGGAATTTATTAGAGTCGCCTAAAATAAAAAAAGAAAAACGAGGAGGAGAAAAATACATAGATTAATATAAAAAGCTTATGACACAAAAGCTCTTACTGTAAAATATTTTTGTGGCATCCTTGAAAAAACGTGGTATATAATGTTCCAGTACAGTTAAAGTAATATTGGTATCCTCCCACGAGCCCACTACAGCATAATCCTGTTCTATATTATGTTTGGCAATTTGTGTGGCCGCTGGAGAGTTGAAATGTCTAAGATAACAAGAGCTTATTAAGAACATTTAAACACAAGAGATTCAAGCTTAAACATACCTGCACACCGGTTTATTGCCACAGAAATGTATAGCAGCTTTACGCCAGTCCGCATTGTATCTAGAATCGGCCTCAAATTTACATTCTTCTCGTTTAGCCTGCTTAACACAATCATTAAATGAAGTTTTGAAATAGGACTCATCATAATCTGTGCGATTGAACTTTTTCTTATAGAACTCATAGACGTCGGGACGACGTTTGAAATAATAGGCTGACATGATCCTATTAATGGGATATCTTATGAGATTTATATAAATCGGTTTGGGTAAATCGTATTGTGTAAAATTAATCCAATTTGTATGTTCCGAATACGACATGGGCTCATTGACTTCATCTAATTCTTCGGCTATGGCCTGTTCTTCTTCTTCCGTATAAACGAAACGTATATAGGCATCTTCTCTATTTTCGAGAGCTTGAAAATTATTGGCATTTGCCAGCACTTGCAGTAAATGTATCATACTTTGAGAGCCTACTTTTTCTAAACGATTAAAGAAGATCCAATCCTTTTCAGCTTTAGCCGTATTATTTAAATGTTTCGGCTGCAGTGTTTGGAGCTTTTTTATTAAATTTTTTAAAGGTTTACGGAAGAAAATCAATTAAAGAACAAGTTGTAAGTAAAATATTGTTGTTGCAGTTTCAACACTAAAATGCTATTAAGCTGGAAAAAGCTTTAATGTTACTAATGTTACTAACAGATTTTTCTGTTATTTGCTTTACTAAAGGCAAAAGCTTTGGTAGTTTATACATATATAGTGTAATTAGTTAAGTTGTTTTAAAGCTTTATTAGGTTTAAATTGGAAATTTATTTAAAGCTTTATTTTACTTAAGAGATAAAAGCTTTTGTAAGCTTTAACAAAAGACATTTTCGTAACTTAAGCTTAAAGCTTTCAAAAAGTTTTAGCATAAAGTCGTTAAGAAGCATATTATTAAAAATAAAAGCATTCTGTTTAAATGAGAAATAAAAGCTTTTTAAAATAAAACATATAAATTCTAGTTAGAAAGAAATTTTATTGAGATCATATTCTAGACACCAAAGCTTTTGAGACAACTTTAAGCAAAATATTAAATAAAATATGTTGGGTTTTAGCAAAGCTTTGAAACAATTTTTCACTGAAGTGAAGAAGAGTTTATATATCATACTCTAAACTCCACAGCTTTTAAGACAACTTTACTAAAGTATAATACATTTTGGAAAAGCTTCTAAAGAACTTTTTTTAACTGAAGTAAAGAGTTCACATGTCTTGACGGATGAGAAAAATCATTAGTACAAAAAGTTTTAAGAAAACTTTTTAACACGAATGAAAGCTTTCTAAATGAACAATAGATAAAAACACTATAAAATTCACTTTAATCACTTTCCAAAGCTTTTTAAAGCTTTTACACATAAATATTTATGTTTTAGCACTTTTGAAAGCCTATTGAAAGCTTTTACACATATGTATGTTTTAGCATATTTTAATTTGATAAAAGCTTTTTTTTTTTAATTCGTTGCATATTTATATCAAGGTTAAACACAAATAAAGATATACGTTCACTTTTTTAAGCTTTCCGAAAGCTTTCTTTTAAATTTGTTACATATTTAGACCAAAGCGCCAAAAAATCATTCATTTTTCAAAACTTTTATACAAATTTATATTTCTAGATGAACATTTGTGGTCATTCCGAAAGCTTTCTCTTAAATTTTGTTTCATATTTACTCTAAGCCTCCAAAAAATCATAGAATTTTCTAAACCTTTAAACAACCGTTAAACAAACGTTAAGATATGACACAACTGAAAACATATATTCACTTTTTGTTAACTTTCCGAAAGCTTTCTCTTAAAATCGTTGCATATTTAGATCAAAGCTCCAAAAAATCATTCACTTTACTCTATTTTTTAAAAGGTTTTACACATATGATAACATAATGTTCACTTTTTGTAAGCTTTCCGAAAGCTTTCCCATAAATTCGTTGCATATTTAGAACAAAGCATTAAAAATTCGTTAAATTTCCGAAATTTGTTGAAAGCTTTTAATCTATGTTTACTTTTTGAAAGCTTTCTAGACGAACATTAAAGTTTAATGGTTTAATAATATTTAAAATTTTTATATTTTAGCTAAAGCTTCATAAAATCATAGAATTATCAAAGCTTTAGGAAAGCTTTTACCCATAGGTTTTAACATATGTTTATTTTTTAAAAGCTTTCTTGATGAATAACAAACTTTTATACTTATTTCGAAAGCTTTTTCTTTAATTCGTTGTATATTGCAGTTAGCCTTCATAAAAATCACTTCATTCGCTTTTCAAAGCTTTTTGAAAGCTTTTGCAGTTATGCTTTTAAAAGCTTACTATAAGAACTATAAACTCTAATGGTTATTATGAAAGCTTTCTCCTACAATCGTTGCATTTTCACATCAAGTCTTAGTATTATTCACTTTTTATAGCTTTTACACAAATGTTTAAACATATGTAAGTTCATTTTGTGAAAGCTTTCTATATAAATAATAAACTCTAATGGTTATTTCAAAAGCTTTCTCTTACAATCGTTCTATATTTAAACCAAAGTTCCATAAAATTAACTTTATTCACTTTTTAAAGCTTTTTGTAAGCATATTTTTACTTTTTGAAAGGTTTCTAGGTCAGCAATAAAATGTGATGGTTATTATCAAAAGCTTTCTCCTACAATATTGGCACATTTATGATAAGACTCCATAAAATTAACTTCTTTCACTTTTCAAAGCTTTTTAAAAGCTTTAGCACAAACTTAAAGATTTTTTATTTTCCTAAAAGCTTTATAGATAAACTTTAAACTTAAACTGTTATTCTAAAAGCTTTTTCCTACAGCTTTAATTGCATTAATTGAAGACTTTTACATGAAAGTACACATTATTAATACTTTTTTATTAACTTTAGCGTAAAGCTTTTTGTTTAATTTTACATTTTAATTTTTAAAATTGTTTTCACGCTAAAATATTAAAAGGAAATCTATTATTTCCACCAAATTTTTTCATCATTTCATCCTTTTTAATCGCTATATACTGTTTATAAAGACGCTGCATGCAAAAATTATACAATTCGATTTCAAAAGCAAATTGTATTTTTAATTTTGCCTCCACTTCCGGTTCCAATTCCGATTTATGAGGTGTGACATTTTTGCGAATCTATTAACGTCACCTTTAACAAGGAATCAAATTTAGAATCAGAAAACATATACAAAAATGTCAACAAAGACTCTTACTGTAGAATATTTTTGTGGCATCTTTGAAAAAGCGCGGTATATAATGTTCCAGCACTGATAAAGTTATATTAGTTTCCTCCCAAGTGCCCACCACAGCATAATCCTGTTCTATATTACGTTTGGCTATTTGTGTGGCCGTTTGGGAATTAAATTGTCTAGGTTATAAAGAAATATTTTAACTAAAATTCTATTGAGAAAAATCTTAAGCTTTTGGCATACTTGCACACATTCTTATTGCCACAGAAATGTAGAGCAGCTCTACGCCAGTCCGCATTGAATGGATTTTTCGAATCAAATTTACAGTCTGGTCTTTTGCCTTCCTTAACACAATCGTTAAAGGACATTCGTATTTCTTTTGCACTCATTGTACGATTGTACTTTTTCTTATAATACTCATAAACTTCTGGTCGTCGATTGTAGTAATAAGCCGACATTGTCTTTCTTAGGGGATGTCTTACCAGATTTATATAAATCGGTTTGGGTAGATCGTATTTAGTAAAATTGATCCAATTTGTATGTTCCGTATAAGACATGACTTCTTCGACATCATCTAGATCTTCGGCCATAGCCTTTTCTTCCTCTTCGGTGTAGGTAAGGCGAACATAGGCATTTTGTTTCATTATATGTGCTACAAAATTATTGGCATCTGCTAGTGCTTCCAGGAAAACTATCATACTTTGAGAGCCTACTTTTTCTAAACGATTAAAGAATATCCATTCCTTTTCAGCTTTAGCCGTATTATTTAAATGTAACGGCTTAAGTGTATAGAGCTTTTTGTTGTTGGAAAATTTAAAAGTAAAACAAATCATTTAACTATAAGCTTTTACTTTTTATAATTAACTTGTGCTTTACATAACAAAAAGTGCTCATAATGGGTTAAAGCTTTTGTGGAGAATTTCTCATAGTTTCTATTATAAAGGAAAAAAAGCTTTGGCAGTTTTGTAAGATAGAACTAAGAAATAAGCTTTAAAATATTTAAAGCTTTTATTCTTTTTTGCAAAAAGCTTTTTATGTAGTAAATATAAAAGCTTTAGATCTGTAGTAATATTTAAAGTGAAAGCTTTTGTAAATTTATATAAATATTAAAAACAAGCCGTTATAAAGCAAATTTTAGAAGTAAAACTTTAAAGCATATTGTTTAGAAGAAAAGTAAAAGCTCTTAAAGTTATATTACAATAGAAAAGGAATCTTATTTAAAACAAATTATTAAAGCAAAATCTTTTAAAAGAGCTTTATAAGATAGATAAGATGGAAAAGTTTTGGAAGATTTTAGAGCTTTAGTTAAAAGCTTACATGTTCTAAAGGTTAAGTTTCTAAAATGTTCATTAGTTAATGAACTAAGTAAAAATATTCAAGCTTTTTTGAAAGCTTCTTAATGAAAAAGATCATAAAAAACAAACATGAAAAAGCTTTTTGTTAAGCCTTTCATGGACGAAATGAAAGTAAAGCTTTTTTAAGCTCTTTTATTAAAAATCGTAACTTAAAAAGCTTTTTCATAACAAAAAATAAAAATAAAGCTTTTGAATGCTTGTTTATGAGAATGGTCGTATAACTCTTTCCTCAATAGCTTCTACGAAAGCTTTCATAAATGAATATTAACAGTGAGAGAATTCTCTGAAAGCTGTTATTATAGGAATTGAAGACCTTGCAACATTTTAAAAAATCAGTATTTCCATAAAAATAGTAAAAAAGTAGCTTTTTCGAAAGCTATATATATATATATTACATGGACTTAATATAAAATAAAAGCTTTTTTTACGGAAAACTTTTTATTTGAAGACTTTTATTTATATATTCTGTTTTCAAAGCTTTTACAATTGAACATTACGCTCAGCTGTTTATATTTAAAGCTTTTTTTTACTGAAAGTTATTTTTAAATGTATTTGAGACTTTGAAAAATGTTGAAAAATCAGAGTTTAATAAAAATGAGTGTTTAAATTGAAACCAAAGTAGCTTTTTGTAAAGCTTTTTAATAATCTAAATAAAAAAAGCTTTTTTGCAAACTTATTTATGAAAATATCCTTAAAGTCTTTCTACCTATTATAAAAAAAATTAAAATATATATTCAGTTTTAAAAGCTTTTACATATGAACATTAAGCTCAGAGATTTATAACGAAAGCTTTCTGTGAAAACTTTTATTAAATGTGTTAGAGACTACGGAAAGTTTTGAAATAAAACAATAATCAAGTAAAAATTATATTTTTTGGAAAGCTTGGATTGAACTGGAAGCTTTTTAAAGAGCTTGTCTAAAAGCTTTCTTTTTTTGGCTTTTATATAAAAATTAAAACATAAATTCAATTTGGTAGCTTTCACAAATGAACATTAATCTCAGAAGTTTTCAACAAAAGCTTTCGCTAAAAGCTTTTATTAAACATATTGGAGTTTTTAAAAAATTTTTAAAAATTAGTATCTAAGTAAAAAAAAAGTAAAATACCGCCAATGTCGCTTTTTTGGAAAGCTTTTTCATGAACTAATTACAAAATAAAAGCTTTTTCGAATGCTTATTTATGAAAAAGTTTTCTTTAAAAGCTTTTATACATAAATTAAAACATAGCTTCATAAATTCATAAAGTACATTAAGCTTATTTGTTTATAATGAAAGCTTTCTCGAAAAGCTTTTATTAAAAGTATCAGAGACTTTCGGATATGTTTAAAAATCAGTATTAGAATAAAAATTAACACTTATGAAGGAAAGAAATAAAAAATAAAAGCTTTTTCGAAAGCTTTTTTATGGAAAGTACCATAAAATTCTATATAAAACCTATATAAATATAGTTTTGAACGTATTCACTAATAATGATTTAGTTTAACTGTTTACACTGAAAGCTTTCCCGTAAAGCTTTTATTAAATGAAATGGAAACTTTTTATTTTCATTGCTTATTAATTAGTATTTTTGTTTTTATTTTAATTTTAAATATTTTTTTTTTATATAAAATACATTCTACGTCAAAATATTAAACGGAAATATATTATATCCGCCAAATTTCTTCATCATTTCATCCTTTTTAATCGCTATATACTGTTTGTAAAGACGCTGTAGGCAAAAATTATACAATTCGATTTCAAAACCAAATTGTATTTTTAATTTTGCCTCCACTTCCGGTTCCAATTCCGTTTTATGGGGTGTGGCATTTTTATGGTATTTATTACCATCACCTTAAAAAAATTTCACCAAAAAAACAAAAAATAATTTAAAACCTGAAAGCTAATTTAAACAATTTCTAAAAACATCTCTTACTATAGAATATTTTCGTGGCATCTTTGAAAAAACGTGGTATATAATGTTCCAGGACGGTTAGGGTAATATTGGTTTCCTCCCAGGTGCCCACCACTGCATAATCCTGTTCTATATTACGTTTAGCAATTTGTGTGGCCGTTTGGGAATTAAATTGTCTAAAGTATAAAACGAAATTTAACTAAAATTCTCTAGAAATAATCACCGATATTCTGCATACTTGCACACATTCTTATTGCCACAAAAATGTAGCGCTGCTCTACGCCAGTCCACATTGTATACATTCTTAGAATCAAATATACACTCTTTAATTTTACCTTGTTTAACACAATCATTAAATGACAATTTTAAATTTTCTTCAGCAATTGTACGATTCCTTTTCTTATAAAACTCATAAACTTTTGGTTGTCTTAGCTAATAATAGGCCGACATTGTCTTTCGTATGGGATGTCTAACTAGATTTATATAAATCGGTTTGGGTAGATCGTATTTGGTAAAATTTATCCAATTTGTGTGTTCCGTATAAGACATGGGCTCATTGTAATCATCTAAGTTCTCGGCTAAAGCCATTTCTTCCTCTTCAGTGTAAGTGAGGCGCACATAGGCATTGTCCTTGATTTTATGTGTTACAAAATTATTAACTTTTGCTAGGTCCATTAATAAATTCATCATACTTTGAGAGCCTACTTTCTCTAAACGATTGAAGAATATCCACTCTTTTTCAGCTTTAGCGGTATTATTTAAATGGGACGGCTGTAGAGTATTAAAGCTT